TTTTGATTTGCTTTTTGAAGTGAAAATAACCTGGATGTGGTTCCAGCTGACGACATGTACACGTACGTAGAAGCTGGTAGTCGTGAGCTGATTTGCAAACCCCATTTATCCGATATGTGCCCTCAAAGGCTCATGTTTCATAAATGGGGTCGGGTATTTTTGAAAATCCCCGTATTTTTCCTACTGCCTCTACGTGTCGCCAATATCATCGCAGAATTTCCATGCGATTGGAGCAGGATGGGAGGGCAGACCAATAGTTTTTGAAAATCAAAAATTAAGCACTTTGAACCCGGATATGTCGCGATGTGATTTGTCGTGAGCTGCATTTTCAATTTTGCAAACGTCATTGCTCCGATCAACATCACCACGATCAAAAGATTGGCAACAAAGGACGTGCCAAAAACACCAGCCCCACAACAAGTGCGACTAATCATGGAAGAAACGCATCGGAGTCAAGGATGAGACTGGTGCAGCACAGCCAGCTTCAAGAAAACAGAAGACGACTGATCATCACTCATGGATTATCAATCACCAGTCAACAAATCAGCGGCAGCATTTTACGGATTTGGCACGAATCTCTCTTTCTAATAAATATCGACCTGGACCGGTACCTCCCGAGAACTGATTTTCTGGGAGTGATCATGGACGGAACCTGTGTCTAAATCACTTGTTCTTATAGAAAGTGTGAAGCTTTGAAAAGAGAGCGTGTTGATTCCAACATTTGATCCAAAATTCGCTTCGGTCGACATTCTTTGAAAGCAGCAGCGGAGTGGGATTTTATCTTGCTACTGCACTGCTTACTACTACCGAAAGGAATGCATTTGATTATGCTTTACCATGTAGCTTATACAGCGTCCCCTGCATCTGGCGAAAAGCTTCACCGATTCATCAAGGAGTCGTGAGTACACTCAACGTCATGCTGGCGCCAAAGGCTATGTCTAATGCTTCTAACTTGCTTATTGTTATGCTCCATATTGCAGTTCCATCCAAGAAAGAACTGGATCCTCCATATTGATCTTCTCATTCACAAGGGATTCAAATACATGGCGCCTCCAAGCTCTGCCAAACATTGCGGCATCAATATCAGTTTGGAATCGGAATGAGGAAGGCAACCGGTTGCCATCTCGCAACACATAGTGAGCGCATGCTGCAAGGGTGTACACAGCGCAATCGTTTGATCCCAGGGCCTGGTTAGGTGAGTTTATCATCACGAAATCGGGATCATCTTCCTCAGCACCCAACATTTGTTTCACTGCAAGGAAATTATGTTTCCTTGAATACTCCAAGCTGTCAATAAAAATATACTTTCGTTTTTCTTCTGCAGGAAAACATTTATTGCAAGCAATGAGAGCTGCCCAATGTCCAGCATTCCGGCTTCCAAAGAATACAGGAAAGAGATTGACAGGGTGGCTTGTACGCGCCAGGTAAGATTCCACTTTCTTTCTTCCGTCTTGTGTCCGCCACATTCCCGAGTTTTTTGCCTTAACATTCCTTCTTTTCCCAGAGTAATGGCACTTTTGAACAAGGAGAGCAAGGTAAGCATTGACAATTGCATCGTTAATCATCACTGTAGATGTTGCAAGCGCCTTCATCAACGTTTCTTCGATGATGATCCCGTCACATGTGATGGCGCCCGATTCCGAAATGTCTTCCCATTGCACTATTACACTTTTTTGGCTCAGATAGTCCTCTTCTGAAACTGCAATGTCGTTACTCAGATCAATGGCATTGGAAGTGATCGTGCCAGGCTCAAGGTTCTCTCTCGCTTTCTCCATGATGCCTTTTATCTTCCGCTGCCTGCGCCTATATGTTGCGTTTTCCAATTTCTTGTGTTCCTTCACCAGCTCTTTCCTTTCCTCTATCTCAGCCTGTCCCAAACGCTTGTGTTCTTTATTTATGAAACTGCATCTTCCGAGTTGTGTGCCCCCACAAACCAGAATTTGACGACTGCACATTGGAAACCATGCACATCTTTTTGCTAATTGTTTGATTAGCTGATGGTTTTCATGCTGCTTCAGTTGATCCAATTAATTGGTTCACTCGTCTTCTTTGTCTTTCGTTTCTTCTGCTCTTTGGTTTCAAGGCCCACATGCTTTTGTTGAGTGTAGGCAGCAGCTGGTGGCACAACATTTAGTTTCTCTTCCAGTGCCCGCTTGTGGGAATAGAAAGGACCTTCTACTTGTGAAGGCAACTTTATGTTGATGATAGCTGGTGAAAAGGCCGACTTTTGTGCTTTCAGTTTGATCCAAAGGTCTACTGTTTTCATGTTGACCCTATTTCCAAACTGACGTTTTGACCGGTTCTGCTTCCACTGATGGTAATACTTCTTCAACTGATCTACAATTTTTGGAAATATCACTTTTCCATCTGCTCGCTGTAGAAACTTCCTTGCAATGTTATCCCAATCATTTGAGTTTGGATTTCTTGACCCCCTAGTAATTTGTCGTAGCTCATCATTATACAGTGTGAACTCATCTTTGGTCGATAGAGGTAGTGGCGCTATTTCAACCCCAAGCTTCCTTGACAGGTACGAGAGATCTTTAGATAGTCCCGAATGTGGAGCCTCAGCTTTTCTCACATGGTTTTCATCTAATGGAAGGGGACGAATGCCCACTAGGGCTGCTGTTTCCGGTGGACTGAAGTCCAGCAAGTTCTGGTG